TGTGTGTCCCCACCCTGCAGGGCCATGTTCACGGGCGGGATGAGGGAAGCCAGCCAGGACGTGATCGAGCTCAAGGGCGTCTCTGCCAAGGGCCTCAAGCACATCATCGACTTCGCCTACAGCGCCGAGGTGACGCTGGACCTCGACTGCATCCAGGACGTGCTGGGCGCCGCCGTCTTCCTGCAGATGGTGCCGGTGGTGGAGCTGTGCGAGGAGTTCCTCAAGTCGGCCATGAGCGTGGAGACGTGCCTCAACATCGGCCAGATGGCCACCACCTTCAGCCTGGCCTCSCTCAAGGAGTCGGTGGACGCCTTCACCTTCAGGCACTTCCTGCAGATCTCGGAGGAGGAGGATTTCCTGCACCTGCCCCTGGAGCGGCTGGTGTTCTTCCTGCAGAGCAACAAGCTCAAGAGCTGCAGCGAGATCGAGCTGTTCCGCGCCGCCGTGCGCTGGCTGCAGTTCGACCCGGCGCGCCGCGCCAGCGCCAGCCGCGTGCTCTGCCACATCCGCTTCCCGCTGATGAAATCCTCGGAGCTGGTGGACAGCGTGCAGACGCTGGACATCATGGTGGAGGACGTGCTGTGCCGCCAGTACCTGCTGGAGGCTTTCAACTACCAGATCCTGCCCTTCCGGCAGCACGCCATGCAGTCGCCGCGCACGGCCGTGCGCTCGGACGCGCCGTCGCTCGTCACCTTCGGCGGCACGCCCTACACCGACAACGACCGCACCGTCAGCGCCAAGGTGTTCTGCCTGCCCGACGCCGGCGGCCGCCAGTTCCGCGAGCTCACCGAGATGGAGGTGGGCAGCAGCCACTCGTGCGTGGCCGTGCTGGATAATTTCGTGTACCTGGTGGGCGGGCAGCAGCTGCAGTACCGCAGCGGCGAGGGCGCGGTGGACGCCTGCTACCGCTACGACCCGCACCTGAACCGCTGGCTGCGCATCCAGCCCATGCAGGAGAGCAGGATCCAGTTCCAGCTCAACGTCCTGCGGGGCATGGTGTACGCCACGGGCGGCCGCAACCGCTCGGGCAGCCTGGCCTCGGTGGAGCGCTACTGCCCCAAGGACAACGAGTGGACRTACGCCTGCTCGCTGAAGCGCCGCACGTGGGGCCACGCCGGGGCCACCGTGGGGGACAGGCTCTACATCTCGGGCGGCTACGGCATCTCGGTGGAGGACAAGAAGGCGCTGCACTGCTACGACCCCGCCGCCGACCAGTGGGAGTTCAAGGCGCCCATGAACGAGCCCAGGGTGCTGCACGCCATGGTCAGCGCCAACGGCCGCGTCTACGCCCTGGGCGGCCGCATGGACCACGTGGACCGCTGCTTCGACGTGCTGGCCGTCGAGTACTACGTGCCTGAGACTGACCAGTGGACAGCCGTGAGCCCCATGCGTGCCGGACAGTCGGAGGCCGGCTGCTGCCTGCTGGACAAGAAGATTTACATCGTGGGGGGCTACAACTGGCACCTCAAYAACGTCACCAGCATCGTGCAGGTCTACAACACCGAGACCGACGAGTGGGAGAGGGACCTGCACTTCCCGGAGTCGTTCGCCGGCATCGCCTGCGCCCCGGTCATCCTCCCACAGGTGACGGGTCCCAGGTGACTGTGGGGACACTGTGGGGACACTGTGGGGACACTGCGGGGTGGTGACAGAGGGGAGGAGGGACAGCAGCCCCGGTTCTCTGCTCCACAAAACCCCTGCTCTGCTGTGGAGTCCTGGCAGGCGCTTTCCACCGGCAGAACTCGGGGCTGAGCAGATGTTCCCGCTGGGAAAAGCTGCTCTCTGCTCTTTTTCTCTCTGTTTTTTTTTTGTGGGGGTGCGTTTTGCCAACTTTTCCTATTTCTGACCGGCAGCTCGGGAGCCGCTCTCACTGGGGTCTCGCTCCCAGGAGATCAGGTGGGGGTTTTTTATCCACAGCTCCAGAAAAAAGATAAAAAAAGCGTCGCGTGTCGCTCGGTCGTTTTTATAGCAAACAGAAAAACCAAAACCTGTGCAACACACTGACCTCCAGAAGCAATAAAGGGACGGTGGGAGCTGCAGGAGCTCGGGTGCTCGGGTTGKGAGAGCACATTCCTGTTTTTCAAAGGTGACTTTTCCTCTTTTCCCTCCCTGGAAAAGGGAATATTTATCCCTGCACACCTCTGGTCTCCGTTGCTCGGACCACGCTGCGATTCCTCGCCCTCTCCAGCTGCTCCGGAGCAGAAATCCTCCCTTAATTGGGGCGTGCGGGGTTTGCAGCACTAAAGCCATGTTGAAAGCTTGATTATGTATAAACAGGCAGGATGATTTGGGTTTGGAAGTGCCAAAAATGTGGCTGGCCTGGCAATAAGAGCTCTGCAGCCGTCCAGCAKTGAAGCCAAGAGCTCCTGCAGTTTCTGGGGCAGGATTTGCACCTTTGCCATCCCCGCCAATGCCTCCATCCCGACTCTTCCTCCAGGAAAGGAGGTGGGTGCTACTCCTCCAGCAGCTGGAAGGTTTTCCTCCTTGCCACGGGAATCGGCTGCTTGGCATCCCAAAGCCATGGCAGCCCCAGTGGAATGTGGTTTTGTCTTTGTGGTGGTATTTGAAATTTGGAGATTGGTTTGAGATGGCTCTGTCGTTTTTGTACAATTCTCACTGCACAGAACACTTCCTGAACTTCCCTCCAGGCCGTTTTCCCTGTTTCATTTGATGAATATGAATTGAGAGAAAAAAAAAAAGAAAATCTGCTTTTATCAGGAATTCTGTTTCCAAGGGCTTTGTTTTGTACCTGTGTCAGCTTGGTTCGGGTGCGCACGGTTCTTCTTTTGTAGAGAAACCGTCGCATTCTGCTGTGAAATAAATCCTGGGCTGCGACTTTTGGTGACAACTGCTGCTGGTGTCTGGTGTGCTGAGGGTCCTGGAGGGGGCTGTGTAAAGCAGGAGATCCACAACTCAGAGATTTTCCTGGAATCCATGGAATCCGAGCACCTTTGGGTGCGGCACGGGGCGCTCACGTTCCGGATTTTGGATCAGTGATGCGGAATTCCGTCCATCCCTCTCTGTTTGCCAATAAAAAATCGAGGGAAATGTGTGGAATTCTGGAGCTGGGGGGCTCTGAGAGGATGGACTGGAACTCGATTTGCTCCTCACGGTTCCAGAGGGATGGATTTTCCTTGTTGATAAAAACGGTGCTGCCTCAGGGGAGGAGGAGCTCCTCGCTCTGCTCTTTGCAGGATCTGCTCAATCCTTCATCAGCAGCTCCAGAGGGACAGAGAGGGGTTTAATCTGGACTAAATCCTGCCTGGGAGGGTGGGCAGGGCCTGGCTCAGGGGATCCCAGGGGAGCTGTGGCTGCTCCACCCCTGGCAGTGCCCACCCTGGGACAGTGGAGGTGACCCCATGGATGAGCTTTAGGGTCCCTCCCGACCCCACCCTGTCTGGGATCCCGATTCTCCAACACTAAAATACTCTCCCCTGTTTTATTTTAAATTTCCTTCTCCCAAAGAGGATTCCTGAGGTTTCAGGGATGGTTTGGGGGTTCCATCATTCCCCAGTTTCATGGTTCCCATCCCGCAGATCCGTGTGGAGACCATCCCTGGCGTCTCTTCCTGGGAAATCCCAGCTTCATTTTCCCCTCAAGCTGCTCAGGTAGGTGTGTGTGTGCTGGGGGCAAAGGGGAGAAGGGAAAAATCCTTTAAAAACATGGGAAAACCCATTTGGTCTCACTTTTTAAGGTCAACCTTGCACAAATGAACGCAATCCCGGCGTTCATCCCTGTCAGAATCATTCCTTTGCAGGCAGGAGGATGCACAAAACCCTCCTGGAATTGTATTTATTGAACAATTGCTGTGAAGCAAAACTCACCTGGGATTCCTGTTCCCATTCCCTGCCATGGAGGAGCAGGAGTGGGAAAAGGAACCTGGAAATCTCTGCCCCGGAGCACCCCAGCCCTTTGTTGCTGGAATGTTCTTTTTATAGCAATGTAAATAATTATTTTTCATCGGGCGAGCTGGAAATATTCTGGGCTGCTCTAAATTTAGCAGGGACTCAAATATTTGTGGATCATGAATGTTTGGGATCCTAAATTTTCCTCGACCCCTCTGAAGGGGACGGAGTGGTGGCTCTGGGCTGTGCTGGGGAATCTCTGAAATTSTGGCAATAAATGGGTTTGGTGCCTTTGGGGGATTCAACAATCGATGGTTTGGGGAGGGTTTTGCCCTAAATTCAGGTGGGATTGTGTGAAAACCCTCCCAAGGAAAGGAGCTGGACTGGGCTCCTGTTTAACTCGGGAATGAGCAAATCCAGATCAACGTTCGATCGTATTTGGGGCTGTTTATGGGTTTCAGAGCAGCCCTAAAAATTCTGGGGGTGACCTGGGTGAGTTTGGGGTGCCCTGAGCGGGTGGGGAGCAGGAGGGGCTGGAGCAGCAGCAGCACTGAGCCCCAGGCTCTGTCAGGGCTGGAGAACCTTTCCCGTCTCCTCTGATGTTTTATGGGACTGGAATTGTTCTTGAAACGATAAAGGCAGCGCTGGGAGTCTTGGCAGGAATGGGGAATGTCTGCATCCCATTAATGGTGTCACTGACCCTTTTCCAGAGGGGCTGCGGCTCCCGATCCCACTGTCACTTCTCCCTATCCCAAAAACCCGGATAATTCACACAGACGTGGCTGCAGCCCTGGAAATTTTTAACAGCGGTGGAAAAATTCCCAATTTCCTTGATTGAGACAGAATGGAGGCGCTCCCAGCAGCTCCCAGTTAGGCTGGTGCTGGTTTCCTGTGGAACCACATCCACCCCGGGCAGACATTCCCAATTCCACGGCCGCGATAAGGGCTGGARTCGCCGAAACTCCGCAAACTTTCGGGACATTTATCAGGGAGAGGATTATTGGAGCCAGACTACTGTCAGGATGAATAAAACATGTTCCCCAGTGCAGCTCTAATTATGATTTTTAGCCAGTTGTGTAATGTGCAGAACTTTATTTACAATAAATCTTCCAGTGGCCTGCACGAGCGGATGGGATTTCATCACCCGTGGCTGCGGGGCCGGCAGGAGTGGATGTGGCCGGAGAAATCCCACTCTGGAGGGGCTGGAGAGAGCAGGACTGGCTGTTCTGGCCTCCAAATCCTCCAGAATTCCACCTGGGAGCAGGGAAATGTCCCAGAGCCCTCTCCCTTGTGGGGTTTGTTCGTGGTGAGTGGGCACAGCAGCATCCCAAAACTCCCAGAATTTTTGTTTGTGGTTCCCAGCCCATCACTGAGCTCCAGGGATGCATTTRGTGCTGCTCAGCTGAGTGTCTCGGCTCCCAAATAAATATTTCAAYGTTTATTTGAGGGGCTGGTATGATTTTAGTCACTCCAGCATGGAGAGTTCCAAGAAATGAATGCAAAATTTGCTTTTTTTTGCTGGGGAACTGTTGCTGGATGAGCTGTGCCACCTGAAATCAGCCCCAGATTGTCAGGAGAAAGGTGAGGGTTAAGAGGAGGGCGGCACTTCCCATCCCTGGGAGTGTCCAAGGCCAGRTTGGAGCAYCCTGGGACAGTGGAAGGKGTCCCTGGGCAAAGGGAACAGCTCCCAGGGCCCAAAAAAACAGGAATT